TCCACAGCTTTGAAGTCTCATTCGTGCTTTGAACTTGTATAGGTGTGCAAGAGGTATAGCAACGCAGTATTTATACGGACCCAGGGTAGCTACAATTCTGTTCCCAGGTATCGCGCGCATGAGGCTTCAAAGCTGTGGTTTCCTGAGACCAGGGTTTGCTGCCCTAAAACACTCTGTTCAGGCCACCTTGAAAATGAAGGTCTGCGAAGCGAGAGCAAGGGAGTTTCCACCTCCTCGCTTCCCAGTCTTCCCAGGGTTCATATAGGGAGCCAGGCCATTTTCAGAATCTTCTGGATTTGAGCTGTTCGAGTTCCTATTGAAGGGTATATGTCACATTCAAGCAGCAGAAGGACAACATGCATCCTCTGCTCTCGCTTCGCAGACCGTCATTTTGAAGGTGGCCTGAACAGAGTGTTTTAGGGCAGCAAACCCTGGTCTCAGGCCACCTTGAATTTAGCTTGAAAAACTGTTTGTTTGAACAAAAGGGTGCATTGTTTTTGTTTTGACATGGTTACCTATGTGTGGGCAGAACAAGACATGAAGCAGATTTGACACGCGGCCGCAAGCGGCTGCGCGAGCTCATTTGATTGCTTCGACGCGCAGTTGTCGAGAAAGGGAAGCGCTGGCTTTCGTTGTGAAGGACGCCAGAGGTGTACGCAATGACACGGCTGCGAACGACCGAAGGTCGGGCTCAAGAGGAATTTTTGACGTGGACACGTCCCAAGATGGACCAAGATCCCTTAGAGATGGCTAAGTGGCTTGTGGCGTGGGGACGCCGCTACGACGCCGAATGGGACGGCGTGTATGACATCCTGCAGTGCCTTTGGAACCTCAGTCGATCCCAATACATGATGGAGTGGTTCCGATTGCGCTAGCTGCGGTGACGCTAGCTCGAGATGTGGCGGATGAAGTCCCCATTCATGGCATGAGGCTGGTGAAATACATCGGCGAGTTCTACAGCCCGCCGGGCACGGTGCCCAAGCCGCTCCTGGAAGTTTTCGGATCGTGGACAACTCACCAGCTGGAGACATGGCTGGACGGCGCATCCCGTTGTGTGCCGGTAGCACGCCGCTGGCGCCGGGGAGCACAGCTGACCAATTCCTGGGGCATCGAATTTATGTTCTCCAGTTTGAGTGCCTACCTGGAAGACGCTCACCTCATCGGGCGCGCTTCTTTGACCCGACGGACACGCATGAACAATGCCATCAGTGACGCCATGACGGCCTTGGCGACCCAGAATGCCGACGACCTCGAGACTGCCCGTCGTAGCCTGACCTTAAGTTTGAGTTAACATGAGTGTGACCGACCGTGACTTGGAAGGGTATGAAAATGGTGACAGGTCATGTCAGCGTTGGAATTCCACTCTGAGACGACCCGGACTTGAAAGGACAGAGCAAAGAGCTTAGCTTCGGTGTCTTGGTTTCAGCCGTACGATCGATCGCCGGACGAGCATCGCTTCGACCCTTGTTTTGTGAATCGCACCCACTGTGCATTGCCGATAGCTGTCACGATGGCCCTAGCTGATAGTTGGCTGACACTCAAAGACGCCTGCGAGATAGCTCAACACCTTCATAGCGGTGGCCAATGAATTCAAGAGTCATGGATTCACGACCCACCTTTGGGGAGCAGACCATGAATCAGCCTATAGCAACTTCCGGTCGCCGAGCCAGACCACACCCACGTGTTGGTCCGAATCCCCGGGGGATGGACACTATGGAAACACAGGTGTTTGCTTCTCGGAAGCACCGCATCCGTGTGGTCGTACACCCGCACGGCGGACATGATATGTTGGCTCTGTCGGGCACTGACACTGTCACCCATGGTACACTACGTGGATGACTATGCATCCATCGAACCCGAATGTTCGATTCAATCAGGCTTTCAGTGCGCGCAGCACCTCATGAAGACTGTTGGCTTCAGGTTCAAGCCAAGCAAAGACCAACCACCAGCGTCAACACAACTCATACAGGGTGTCATCATGAGCATCGACTTGTCAACGTTCACCGTGCGCACAGAACAGGCACGCATGCATCGAATCACAGCACAACTGGAGGAGCACCTTCAGAGAGGCACCATGTCTTCGGACGAGGCCAAAAGACTGGCCGGGAAACTGCAATTCATCTCAGAAGCGATGATGTCGCAGACCATACGATGCTGCCTCCAAACACTGTATGCACGCGCAGCTGCACCCACACAGCACGCACAACCCCCCCTGGGCGAGGGCATCACAGACTCATTGATCACACTGCTACACATTTTGCCCATTGCCAAACCAAAGGGTGTTTCGGTTTCAATACCAACCCTGCACTGTCATTTATGCTGACGCCTTCTTTCAGGCGGGGGACGAGAGACTGTCGATTCGGACGGCGCTGGACCACAGCGGCTAAAAAACGATGCGACCCACCTAATGAAGAACGGTTGGGGATTCGTCCTTCACGAACCGTGCGGCCGATGCCATTACGCACATGGTGAAATCCCAGGAGCCCTACTGGATCGATTCACCTCACGCAGGGCATTCATCTACGCCCTAGAGATCTTGGCGCAGATCATGTGCATCGTCTCCGGCATGGCCCTGATGGAGCCTCTGAGCCTGTGCTTCATCGACAACGAGCCAGGCAAGTTCGCCTTGCAGAAGGGCTTCGGCAAGGACGCCAAGGTCAACAGACTCTTGGGACTGCTGTGGCGCTTTGTCGATGGCTGAAGCCCACATTGGGAGCGAGTCACCTCGGAGGCCAACATTTCTGACGCCGTGACGATCTTTCAATGGCACACCAGCTCCAATGGACGCCGGTGGAATTCGATTGGCACTGGCTTTACAAGACATTGGCTCGAGCCACCAAGTCGATGGACGAGGCCATGAGCATAGGAGCCGCACTTGCCACGAGTTTCGGCCGGGTGCCACGGGGGACGGCGGCCGACATGGCATACAGCGCCTGTTGAGCTGCCGTGGCACATCCATCCAAAAAGGAGCGCGGCAGTCAGAGGCTCACACGGAAGTGACGCTTTGTGTCGTGAAGGACACCAGTGTGTACGCAATGACACGGCTGCGAACGACCGAAGGTCGGGCTCAAGAGGATTCTTTTTTACAACAACCAGCTGGCAGCACCAGGCATACAGCGCCTGTTGAGCTGCCGTGGCACATCCATCCAAAAAGGAGCGCGGCAGTCAGGGGCTCACACGGAAGTGACGCTTTGTGTCTAGAACCTACATCGCCAGTTTGGCACATGAAAAGCTTTGTTGGGTTGAATGGCAAGTCAACCTTTCCATTTGGACGTAAGGGCCTTCAAGAGTAACTCTTTTTCAACGCGGAATCCTCGTGGGCTTTATGTTTACTATAGTCCACCGTAGAAGATTCTGAGGCACGCTACATCACGCAACAAAATCAGGAGTAGATATAGTCAAGAAGACCTCTTGTTTGGTCACAATCTTGTGATTAGGTCATTCTTTGTCTCACTTCTTGTCTTGCTTTCTGAATTCCTTCATGCAGCGAGGACAGCTGTGACTTCTGTAGTTTCTCCGCTTCTCCAGCTGGGTTCAGGTGATACAAAGACTGTGTGTGGGTGTTTCGCAAATAGAATACAAACTTTGTGCCAGAACTTGGGGTTAGAATCTAGTATGTCAGTGGAAGAGGTCTGAGCTTCTTCACGGAGGTGTGGCACGTTTTTTTGCTTATGCCTTGTTTGGGCTTTGTCCGCCTTGCGAGTATCTGGAGTGGGGTGGGGTGGGCTAGGGTTGCGTGCAGCATGTTGACCAAGCTTTGTGCAGAGCTTGTGTGCGAAAGTGTTAGCAGCTGGTTCTGCTGGTGTAGTCTTGTGAGGACGCTTCATGTGCTGAGTTGGAAAACAGATGAAAGAAGTGCATAAGGGGCTGCGGCTCAAAATAGCATCACCCAAAGGGAACCACTACTGTACCGCGATTGGCTTTGGAGAGTGGTTTGGATCCGTTTCTAGGGCGAGAGATGGCTTACAAAGAGGTATCTCGGTTAGAGGCTCTGCATCTCTTCCCTCCATACACATGTTCGCTCGCATGACTAGTGTGTGTGTATATGTATATATATAATATAAGATTAATAAGGTCTGAGAAAAGGGTCCAAAACCATTGCCAGGAATAGAGGTCCCTGCTTCGACGTCTTGACTCTTTTGATTCTGCTCTCTGGTCTCAAGCCCGCTTCTCTTTCAACATTGTCCATAGTTGTTCGGTTTGTTTGCCTGTCTATTCGCTTCGAGGCTGCTCTACGGGGCATTGCTGTGAACCAGGATGGGCGGAGCTCGACGATGACAGCGCCCAATGGACCCTCTCAGACTTTGGTCGTCCAAGTGGCGCTGGCGGAAGCCAAAATGAATCATCATGAGGCGAAACGCAATGCGTTGCACCTCTGCGTGCATTGAAAAGCTGTCCAACCTACTAGCAATGGACTCCAACCTACTAGCAATTGCCTCCAACCTACTAGCAACCTACTAGCGACGGCCTCCAACCTAATAGTGATGGCCTCCGACCTAATAACGATGGCCTCCAACCTAATTTCGATGGCCTCCAACGTAATAGCATCACTTCAAGGTTCAAGTTGAATGCCATTATCAATTTCCCAGCTTGGCCGGTGGAGGTGTTACACATGGAATGCCATGGCACTGGCACCCCTCTGGGCGATCCAATTGAAGTTGGCGCGCTGCAAGCTGGTAGCAGGGCCGCCTCCCTGCAAGAGGGGCGCCGACAGCAGTCGCTGGCAGTTTCTGCAGTGAAGACATCTGTTGGGCATTTGGAGGCAGCAATGAAACGCGGGTGGACACGCAGCATCATTCCCTGAACTAAGCTGGAACCCATGCCTATGATTGAATGTTGGAAGTTGATGTCAAAATTTGCACAGATTTCTCGTCTTGGTGAGGGAGCTGCCGCATCACCTGGCCTACTCAAGACTGTGACGCTGCTGAGTCGAAGATCTGTGCCTCGAGCTTGTTTGAACAGATACTTCAAACACGGTGTTCAAAACAATCACATCTTAAAAAGTGGACAACGCGGCACCGTTGATGAACATATATGTGCTGTATCTTTATCGGGCGCCCCGCTCACTTGCGCATGCCAAAGTTAACTCACCTCACTTGTGCACCCAGCGACTCACTTGCGCACACAGCGACAAACTTGGGGACTTGTGGCTCCTTCCTGCCCTGCATTTTGCTTCGTTGGAATGAGTCTTTCCTCCTCGAAGTTTTATCCTCAGGTGGTCCACCACCAGGCTGTGCTACCTTGGAAACGATCTTTCGTCCTCTAAATTTAATCCTCAGGTGGCCCACCAAAGGCATGCTACGTTAGTTGGAATGGTTGCTTCCTCCTGTAAATTTGCACTCTGGTGGCTTACAAAAGGTATGCCACCTTAGAATTGTTTTTTCCTCCTTTAGATTTTACCATCAGGTGGCCCACCAAAGGTTTCTTCTTGCTCGGAACTGTAGCCTTGACTGGCTCACAAAAGGTGTTCTACGTATGCTACTCCTCCAAATTTTTGTCAGGTGGCCCGCCGAAGGTATGCTACCTTGAAATGGTTCCGAGGTGGGTCACGGGCCCGCCCTCACAGGCCCACGGGCTGGCCCGTCCACGGGCCCACGGGCCCATCCACGGACCGTCCATGGGCCCAACAGCCACGGGCCAACCGGGCCTCACGGGCCGGCCCCGCTCACAGGCCCCGTGCACGGACCGCCACGGACTTCAGAGGTATGGTCTCATTGTTGTCATATAGCGGCTCAGCGGAGGCGTTGCGGTGGGAAGTTCCATGGGCCTGCCATGGCTGCGACTATTATAGTTGTCTTCTCCTCGTATGTTTTTTTCGTGGCTTTGGTTCCGGCATGTTCCAGTTTTTCTTGTGTTTGTGTTTTGAAATAACCGCAGGTAAGTTTGCCATTACGCATTGTTGTGATGATGGGCAGTTGCGTGGCATCGCCATGGCTATGATTGTTATAGTTGTGTTCTCCTTCTATACTTTCCGTGGCCTCTTGTGTCCGTGCTATTAAATAGCGGCAGGCGATGGTGATCTTGTCATTGTGCGTTGCTATGCAGCTGGGAAGTTGCGTGAGATTGCAGTGGCTATGATGGTAAAAGCTGTGTTCTCCTTGTATGCTTTTCGGGGCTTCGATGTTTTTTAACGGTACACGTGCGTGCACTTCCAAACTTCCCGGTCTCCATCAACGGCCTTACGGGCTCCACGGGCCACAAGGACTCCACGAGCTCCACGGGCTCCAGGCACCCCACGGGCCCCACGAGACCAACACGTGAACGGGCCTCACGGGATTTCACGGGCCTCTTCAAGGGACCCACAGGAGACCATACCCTCTGAATTAGTTATAGTTATAGTTCTTTTTTGCCTGATGTTTTCCCAATCGCATGTCATTGAGATACAACATAGATGAATTTCCACACAAGGCACTTATTTGATTGTTGTGCACTCTTCATTGCTGTTTCGCAGCTCTATGTTCGACCTTACATACAGTTTCTTATGCCCTTTCGTTCTGGCATGCCCTGGGGCTTTGAGCTAAAGAGGTTTGGTTATGATTCATGCGGTTATTCAATGTCGATGATGTTCCAGGGGAGCCAAATTGCAAGTTCGTGCCACGAAGAAACACTCTCCCAATGTCAGAGTAGGTTTTCTCTTGGACTCTTGCAAGGCATTTGCAGTGGTCCATTTGTATTCCCTAAACCCGCACCTGGACCCTTCAGAAGATGTTCCACAGGCAGGGCAGTTTGCAGTGTGATTTTTATGCCGAACCGACACAACTGCAGCAGTAAATGCAAGCTGTGATTGTTGTCAGCAAACGTGAAGAGTCAATGTGTGTCCGTGTATCCATTAATTGAATTCATACTTCCTCACAGACACTTGCAGGTTTTCCAAAATGAGCATGTGCCTCTAGGCACTGGGCGTCGGACAGGAGGACTTTCCTCCTTCGGATTTGGTGGAACCAATGCGCATGGTTTGCTGGGAGAATCAGAAGTTCCTGTGGATTTCATCACACTTCAACGGCCTCCCACCTATGTCAAGACAGCTTTTCCTTGGCGAGATGCTGGGTTTCGACTGCTTCGTTCGCAGTTAGACTCAAACTTTGAAGTGAGCATGTCCTCTGATGTGTATGAAATCGTCTCTCATCATGTCGTTTTTGGATCGATTGTCACACCAGGAGTTGTGTATGTTGAAATGGCGTTGGAAGCTACTCGAAAGCTGTTTGGTCATGATGTGGCCTTGAAGGATGTCACGATGGTTTTTCCGTTTGTGATACCCAATCGTTTTGCAGAAGACGCAGGTTCACCTCCGATCATGCGATTCATGTTGAAAGGCGATCGCTTTGAGATCCAAAGCATTGCAAACGGAAAAAAGACAACTCATGTGGAGGCGTCGTTGGAATTTGGGTCAAAGTCTGACAAAGGCTCAGTCAGCACGAACGCTGCAAACCTTAACCTCGAGGAGCTTCAAACTCGCATCAGTGAGCTCATCGAAACATCAGTGGTCTACGAGGCGATCAATTCAGTTGGACTTTACTTGGGGCCGATGTTTCAGGTGGCTAAAAAGCTTTGGAGGAAGGAAGTGGAAGACACGGACGGATGCAACGAAGTATTGGGCCTGCTCCAACTTGACTATCCAGGTGTCAAGAATGTAGGTTACATCTTACATCCTGCTTTGCTGGATGGAACTATTCACATTCTTGCAACTGCATCGATCGGAAAGAATGTCGCTGGGTTGAAAATTTTTGGTGGGGTTGGGAAAGTGGCGATTGTGAAGAGAGCAAACTTCTCGAACTTGGAAAGATACTGGGTGCACATGAAGATTACCGAGTCCCTGGAAGCATCGCAAACCTTCAACGTGACAGTAGCTGCTGATGATGGATCTGTGCTACTGTACATGGAGGACGTGGTATTTAGAGCAGTAAAGCCAGAGCAAATCCAGATGGCAATCTCAGCCCAGGGTGAAAAAGACGATGAACAGAAATACTACGAAGTCGAATGGTCAGAGGAGCCGCTCAAAAGGAGCTATTGCCGGGGTAATGGCCTTGTTCTTGCCGACACTGACCAAGCCTTAGGTGCCCTTCAGAAACTCTGGTCAAGTGATGCGTCAAGGGACGTCAAGTTCTTGACGCCTGCAGAAGTTGATACAAGTTCTCTTGATAGCTATGAATGGATACTGTGTTTTAGCAACAGCAGCAAGAGAGATTCTTTGGTGGACAACTTGCTCTTTGCAGTCAGATTGTTGCAATCCTTGGGAAAATCTCACCATCCTAATTTCCAGTGCTTGATCCTGGCGACATCCAACACTCAAGCAGTGAGGGCTGGTGATATGTCTGGTGTGTTTTGCCCATTACATGCTGGACTTTGGGGTCTAGCTCGAGCTTTCCGCAATGAGAATCCAGCGCTGAAAGTCTTGTGTTTTGACTTGGGAGCCACACAGGGACTTGAAGAGCTTTGTCAAGTGCCCGAAGCCTCAGGAGATCTTGAAGTGGCTTTGCGGAGATCGTGTCAAGGAGGCGATGCCGCATTCGTTCCTTTTGTTCCTCGTCTTCAAGAAGCAAAGCTGGAATCCACGAGCCAGTGGGTGCCAGCAGGCGGGGCTTACATCATCACTGGTGGTCTAGGTGGTTTGGGATTGACCTTCGCTTCCTGGTTGCTGGAACGAAGTGAACGAAGGGCAAAAGTGGCTTTGATTTCTCGGAGTGGAAAGCCTCCCCAGGATTGCCAAGTAGCCTACGGGCGCTTGGCTTCGAAAGTCTCAGTCCACAAGGCTGACATCACCTCTGATGCTCAAGTGGCTCAGGTCTTTGAAGCGATTGAGACCCATTATGGAGGTATCAAAGGAATTCTCCATGCGGCAGGAGTGCTTGACGATCATATGGTTGCTGATCTGCAACCAAAGCATGTGACGCCAGTCTTGGCGCCAAAAACCTATGGAACTCTTGTCCTGCATGATGCCTGCCGAAACTCGGATTGCCAATTTGCTTTATTCTCATCAGTAGCTGCCCTGCTTGGAACGCCAGCACAAGCGAACTACTCCGCTGCCAATGCCTTCATGGACTCCTTTGCTTCGTTCTTGCGTGACAACGGCCAACAAGCCGTGAGTATTCAGTGGGGTCCATGGGCTGAGGTGGGCATGGCTGCACGGGCAAACACATCAGAGTCAAGTATTGTGAGAATCTCGGCAAGAAAGGGATTGGAGGCCATGTCTGCCATTTTGACAGCGTCTGCAAGCCTGCGGACTGGCATCATTAGTGTGGCTCGCATCAAATGGGCCACATTGCTTGGACAACTGGGAACTCAAGCCCCTTTCTTGAGCAAGTTTACTGTTGCAAAAAGCACGAGCAGCAATGTGTTGGGAAATTACACATTGGAAGATGTGAAGTCTTTGGTGGTCGGGTCGTTGGCAGATGCTCTTGGAACTGATGACTTTGACATTTCTACGCCATTGATGGAGCTCGGCCTCGACTCTTTGGCTGGTGTTGAGTTTCGAAACCGACTGCAGGCAGGGAAGAGATGTGCTTGAGCCCTTTCGTTGACACCAATGATTGATTCATCAATAATTTTGACTGATTTGAGTGATTTTTGTTTCTTCGGTGTTCAAGCTTTTCATGCTGAGCTCAGGGAGCTGTGGAGGGCATCAATCTGACACCCACTCTCATGTTCGACTATCCGACGGTGCCGGATTTGGTGGAGTACATTTGGTCCCAGGTGGACATGCGGGGAATGACACGAGTAGAGACTGTAACGAAAGAAAAGCACTTAAAGCAAAGTAAAAGAAATGGAGACCTGTAGATACGCCAGTGGCGTTTGCCACTTCACGCAGAATCACAGAGCTGATAGACTGATAGACATTGGCATGTGGTGCTTCATGTTGCAAAAAGGATGCAACTTCAAACCAGAAACAGCAAACATGCAGGTTGGGCCAGCAGAAGAAGAAGGCATTCAAGCTTTACAGGCGAGTCTTCAACCTCATGCCTTACTTTGCCTGAAAAAGCAATTCTGGTTCTTATTCCTTTTAAGAAGGAATAAGGGTCTAAACATGGTTTTCTTCCAGATAGCTGGAAGCTGTAGGACTGGAGGAGTTCTTACTTTTTGTAGAATTAGGAGCCTGTGGTGGGGGCAGGGAGTTTTCCCCGTCATCAAAGTGGTGTGCTGATTCTGAAAGAACGTGCGTTCTTTGGAACATGGCCAGGTGGGCAGCTTCAGTGACCAGCTTGCGCTGGCCAGTCACAGTGGACGTTTCCCTGGCAGCTTCTCGAATCATCCAGGAGCACCCAGAGTGTGCCGATTGAGTTGTGCTTGTTTTGAACCAGAGTAATGCGCATTTTCCATATTGGACAACACAGTGAAGGCGACTTCTGGCATACCTTGACATATGGCTTGGACACGACTGCAGAGCTGCCTCCAGAACGTGTGGCACTGAGTTAGGCCTTCAACTTTGAAGATATTCCACAAAACACAGCCTTAGTGATGCTACTAGGAGCAAGGGCATCGCTACTCGGGGCTCCTGGCCTTACTACTAGCAACAAGAAGCTACTAGGGGCTCCTGGCATCGCTACTAGGAGCAAGAATCAGCTAGGCCTTCAGCCTTAGTGATGTGAGACAACTTTCAGAATCTTCATAAAAAATATCCAACAAAGGGCCCATTGGCCCGTTGCTGTTTGTTCATCCTTACCAGGTTGGGACATGGATGCTTTCTATGATTCAGATTTTGATGCGCCTGGGAAGACCTACGTGAGGCAGATAGGATGTCTTGCAATTTGTAATTTGTTACATCTCAGCTGAATGCAATGTAGGCAGTAGTTTGACCAGGCTGGGACATTTCATTCCTGGCATTGAGCAGTTTGATGGAGAGTTCTTTGGACTCAGCGAAATGGAGCAGAGAGGGATGGCAGCTCTGAGCAGCACGAAAGACGGATTCAGTGCACGGAGTGAGCCAGAAATTGTCAGTGAGCTAAACAAACAACGTCCAATCCGTTTTCAAAAGGAACGGAGAAATCGAATGAAAGCTGCTCAAAGAAGAACTCTAAGGATCCGCATCAATGGCTTACATTGGAGATCACCTATGACTGTATGTTCGCATCAGGCAGCGCAGAGCCTCATGGAGCATGTGCATTGAGAGAGAGAGAGAGAGCGGAACAGAGGCAGAGACTTGGTAGAGTCCTGGTAGAGAGTGAGGCATAAGCTTTTTGGCCTTAGACCCTATCTCCAAACCTTTTTCTTGTTGTACACTGAAAGAACTTTGAACATCCTTCCAGTCTCAGATTCGCCTTCACAGTCGCAGCTGCTCTCACTTCTTCCTCGTTGGTTTTCTCCTCGCATTGTTGACGCAAGGCTTGACAAAGGAGTCGATGAACGCCCTCGAGTGTGGCGTTTATGTTGGCTGTGCAACTCTTGGCGGGATCGAACCGAACATTCCCGCTTTTGGGCCTTTCACAAACATTGGCTGGAGCCCAAGGGGTTTTGTTTTGATTGCACTTTGCTGCATTCTTGTGGCTTTACCTTGATTCAGCAAGGTTATGCGTATTCTGGCTTGTCTGGCCGGGTGTCACACACACTCTCCCTGCGCGGACCTTGCTTCACTGTGGACACGGCCTGCTCAGCAACAGTACGTCACTGAGTGTTTGTGAGCTGCCTGAGTTCTTTCCAAGAAAAGGTACTGTAGCAATTCTTAAATCGGCTGGGCTCATGGAATGAGATCGTCTCTTTTGATGCGCAGATGCATTGTAGAATGCTTTGGTGCGTTTAAGCCAGCCCGGATTTGCCACATTGTGCATGCCATCAGAGCTCTGGTATGGTCCTTTGAACCACCAGATTCGGATGCTATCATCACGTGCGAGCTTCCTTGAAGAACACGCTTTGCGTTTCTGCATAAAGTATCTGGTCTAGACCACAGACCCTTCAAAAAAGAGAAAGAACAAGGTTCTTGTTTTGGATTTAGTTCAGGTTCTTATCGTTCTTATCGTTCTTTTCTTCCAGTCAGGTTTGACACCCATGCCGTCATGTGGGAAACGATTAGGAACATTCCAGAGAAGTTGGAGAGCACATTCCGAGTGACTGGCAAATCAAGTTTCAAAATTCTCAACCGCTCCCATTCCTAGCTTCTTGCTCCTAGTAGCGATGCCAGGAGCCCCTACTACCGTCCTTGCTCCTAGTAGCGATGTGCAAGTGAGGGTCAGTCACACCTAGCTCGGTGGCACTTCCAGGGCATCGCAGTGTAGCGCAGGTTCAGATCGCCGAAATCTCAACAGATCGCAACAAGGCAACCGGCGCAAACCTTCACAGATTAGCAGAGGCATTTGCAAAGCAGACCGCAAGACCACAAGAAAGACCGGGATGCACAACTATAGTATAGTATCCATCGATTGATTGCACGTGAACAATTTAGCAAGATAAACTGCTCCTAGTGTAAGGAGAACATGCTTGTCCAGACTTTCTTCAACCTGCCTAGGTTGTTGCGCTTGACTGTGCCAGCCAAGCAATACGGTTGGGTCGCTGTGAAGAGCTCAGTTCTCACAGCGAATCGTGATACAGGCTAGCAGCAGACTGCCAAGCACATAGGGGTCTGTTGTGGCATGGCACATTTGGAGGCTCATGTTGTGCTCATGGTATCCTTTGCGATTGGGCTGTATAGGCAAATCTGCTGCAGCTAGCGGTGTGAACTTACAGCTCTCTGCGGCCATTTGGGTACAGTACTCAGAGATGGCTTCGCCATTTTGCAGGGTTTGTGTGTATAGAATTATCATTTGTCCCTTGGCTTGTTGACTTGCATTGCTTTGAGGTTGGCTTTGCAAAGATGCGAGGGCTTGCAATGGATGGAAATTGCAAGACCTTCGATACCTCGGCCGACGGGTTTGCTCGTGGAGAGGGGATGGGCCATGGCCCGAGATTGGAACCGAAACTCCTTTGGAGCTAGGAGCAAAGGGACGCTACTAGTAGCTCCTGGCCTTACTACTATGAACAGGGACGCTACTAGGAACAAAGGGATGAGAATGGAATGGCACCTGCTTGGTCTGTGAAGCGTCGTAATTTGTTTCGTCGCAACATAGTATTCCGTTGACATGTCCACTCATTGAATATTGAAGCTGTTGAAGTGGATGAACCCCAAGTATTGGTTGTCTTGTCCTAACCAGGCTCAGTATACCTCAAGCCTGCTGCACCTGAGGCGTTCTATGAGTTTCAACTCTCAGTTCTCATAATGGGCATGATTTGTTCCATGCCCGATTCTGTTTTACAGTGTTGTGCCAGGCTTTTTCTGTGGCTCTACTGGGTGGTGTTGCTGGAGACCTAGACCCACAGGATTGTTGATTTTTCTCACGAGGCTGTCAGAATTCAGAGCCAGTGGGCAAACTTGAATTTGGTTTCAATCGTGGAGGCCATCATGAAACCATGAGCTAAGAGAGATATTGCACCGAAGATCATTTGTTGCAAGGCCACCAATCACGATGGCCGTGCAGCAACCATCACAGCTCCAAACGGCACAGCACAGCAGCTTCTTGAAAGCAGCTACAGCTATATGTCGCCACGATTTTTTGGAGGGGCTTTTCTTTTCTTCTAGTTCAAGACACCCTTCATTCTTTTGGATGCTAGCGCTTGAGACTAAGAGAAATACTACTACTGTAGACTAGTCCTTGAAGTAGTAGCATCGACCAGGAAGGGAGACGTTTTTTCTCTGAAAACCCCTCGCAGGCTACTATATTCCTAGATTTTGATGGGAGAAAGGTTGCGGTGCCCAGGAGAGTCCTGCGTGCTGCTCTTGCAGAGCGGGGAACTCTGCCGGAGGCGGCGATGGCCTTTGGGCAAAACCAAAGAAAGAAATAACGAAAAGAAAGCAAAGAAAAGAACATAAAAGAAAGGAAAAGAAAAGACAAGACAAGAAAAGAACAAAGAACGGAAGAAAGGAAGAACGGAAGGAACCAAAGAGAAAGGACGAGAAAAGACAAGAAAAGAAAGAACATGTAGAAGGAAAGAACAAAGAAGAACGACGACAAGGAAAGAAAGACAGAGAAAAGTCAGTGGAAGTTGCACAGCCACCACTGTCACAAAATTCATGCTCGTATCGGCACTGACGAAGGCCAACTGTATCCGAATAGAATCATTCCATGCACTTCATGCTTTGCATTGGAAGGTGTAGACATTGCTTCGCATTGAAGAAACGAGTTGTAGACCGACTTGACATTCCAGGATTGTGCATCCCACGGGAACCAAAGAAAATCTCACGTGCTTCTATTTATTGTGCTTCTCTGTTTCTTTTTTGATTAATTTTGCAAATCTAATTGTTATTTGGGGGTTGGTCATGGCTGACAGCAGAGAACACAACGCTTGGATTTAGCTTTATTTTTTTGAGGTAAACGATGGGTTATATAACATTTGGAACCCGTGTAGAACTCTGTGGTACAAACAGGACGTTTACAGCTTCAAGCAACATGCGCATGCCGCATGACTTCCAAGTGTTCCTCCATCCAAGGAAGGCAGATCTCGCACAGCTAGTACACACACTCGGGAAATGCGTGCGGAACAGATTGCGGTTTGCCATCCGCCAGCCTAAGTGAAACACCTTAGGACCTAAGGGACCAGGGTAAGTAGGTATGTAAGGTGGTCTGAGCATGAGAGCCTCCAAAACCTTAAACAGGTGAATCTCAAAGCTTGAAGTCTCCAAGTTTCAACTCGACGATCGAGTGACCGACGAAACGCGCAGAGTCTGCAGACCTGTCTCCACATAACCAGCCTGAAGTCTAGAGGAGAACATGGTTACCAAACGCCACAACCTTCAGCAGGTACGGAGGCGATCAGTCTCCGCTTCCCCATCGTAGAACAGCTTCGTTGGCACAGCTATCCACGATGGGCCTGTGCCCCCTTGCTAAACAAATGGAAAGGAAAAAACACCTTAAGGTGACCTTGGAATCCAAGGTGTTCACACACAAATCCGATCAAGAAGCTGGCGATGAGAATCTACTACCATCATGCACGGCTGGACCCATTGTGTTCAGCATGGCGGACCCTCGCGCCGGACCTCCAGTGGGCTTTTGCTTTGTGGTCACACGCAGACGAGCTTTCAATCTGCAGAGTCCTTTGCTGAGGCATGAGTGGATAGGTCGGATAGCCATGGCAACCATCGTGATTGCAAGTTCTGTTGCCCATCCGCCTTGTCAGAAATCCATCCATCCATTCGTCTGTGGATTTCCCTTGCCGCACTAAATCATTTGCTGTGCCTATACCCAGCTCTTTGAAGGTGGGTGTTCATTCCAGACTTGGGTTACCGTAAAGATTTCCAGATTGAAGGAGAGACAGAAATGGTCTTCAGCGCAATGGGATTTTAATCTCGCTAAAAAGTGCTCTCCAGATCTCAACATGAATGTATAATGAGCTCGAAAGACTGCTCCAGGGAGGGTACACAAAATGATCAAATTGATTGAACACTAAATTTCTGAAATTTATGAGGTGATTCTGGATTTTTGCAAACTGTTAGAATAAAACAGTAATAGGAGACGTGGCTTTCAACTACAGTTCAAAGCCACTTGGCAGCCATGTCAATGTAGAACATCAACATTTTTCCCTGCTGCGTGCGGCTTCAAGGCGGCTTCAAGTCACTTCTGAAATCGATTGAAACTCAGCGTCAGCGATTGCAGCACCACGGCGCTTGAACATCTAGTTGGGCCTTATAAAGGACCACATGTTCGCTGTAGGCAGCAAGTTTAAGGCAAGGATACGATGTCTCCGCAGGTGGAAGACAGGCTAAGACAAGTTGAAGAACGCATTGCTTCAGCCGGCTTCCAATGTTCGTTGATGGCAACTCAATATGCCATAATTAATAGCAGGAAAACGCAGTTGCTGTGATGGAGCCAAACCTTTTCTCCGCACGATCCATCAAAGACCTTTGTAGATTGGACAGTGTAATGTGGACAGTACACGAGCGGAAAGAAAAGTCGTAGAGCGGACATTTAAACAGTAATGCCTCATGTCATGCGGAGCAGCGCGTAAGCGTCCAGGATCACCAAGACCATTATTCATAAATCTTCAGGGCTCACGCCTCACAAGGGCTTTGCGGATTGTGCTTCGTTTCCAACCTGCAAGGCCGTGAGCTGTTTAGAGTGCCATGGCACTGGCACCGCCTTGGGGGATCCCATTGAGGCCAGGTAACTCCTTCCTTTGGCCATGTGCCATAACCATGCGACGACTTTCAGGTGGGAGGACAGAGTGCAGTGTATGGCAAGAGCCGTGGCTCGTTCCTGCTAGCAGCCGGGAAGACAAATCTTGGCCACCTTGAAGGTGGGCAGGGCAGCTAATTTGGCAGCTTGAGATCTTGTTCGGCATATTTTGTCGAATATTCTTAGGGTATTTTGGCAGCTTGAGGTGCGGCAGGCGTTGCCGGGATCAGCAAAGCAGCTCGAATCCCAGCAAAACACCACAAGACTGTCAGCTTGTGTTTGGAAGCCTTGAGGTCCTTTCATGCCAGCGGGCGCAGGTGCCAGCATTGTTGTGGCTGCGCCAGCTGATTCCTCAGTCATCCGAGAACAGATCAGGGCGACGTCCAAGCGGGTGATTGCGAGCAAGCGACTTGTCTCGGAGGCTCAACAACAATATTGAGCTCTCTGGGTTTTCTGCAGCGATGCCAACGGAGCTCCTTGCTTGGCGAAGGGAGAAGAAGATATCCTCCGTGTCCTCTTTCGGCTTCAGCGGCACCAATGGGCATGTCAGAACCTCAGAGCATCTCAGAGGGTCTCATCCTAGAGACGTGTTGTGAGTCGAGTAGCTAGTTCGAAGGCGTTCTTGTTTGAAGGCAGGTTCTTGTGACTACTTAGTGAATTACTAGTCCAAGAAGTAGTGAAGCCTACGATGAGGTAGAGGCCTTCTGGTTTAAAAGGACCGCTAGAGTTTTTGCGATTTTCTGACGCTCAGGCTTTGGTGGAGGAAGCTGAGGTGTCGGCCCCCCCGCCGAGAGCCAAATATGCCAGACGGATGCTGCAGGCGTATCACATGTGGATGCAGGACCGAATACACTAGCTAGACAAAGTTGCGCTTCTTGAAACTCAGAATCAGTACAGAATCCTAAACTGGGAGACCTGGGACTGTTTTATAAACGATGTGATAATTGTCCTTGGTAATTCGATCCCCAGCTGACCCTACAACGTTTATGAACATGGTCAACAAACATGAAGTTTTGTTTGCCTGAAGTAGAGAAGACCCTTAGTTTTAGGGCGTACTTACTGAAGGAAGTAAGTAGTAAGGCCTTACTTCAGTAAGGAAGGAACCCAGCTACTAGTAGAAACTGTTCCTAGATTTTGAGGTAAAACATCGTTTGCGGCGTGAGTGCTGCTTCAGGACTTTTCCTTTCAAGAGGTTTTGATACCAGTGGAGCTTTCTACGATGGACAGCCACTTTGGTTGCAAACCCAGTGAAGACTGAGCGCCCAAGACTGTGGAACGTTTTTTACTCAGAACTTGACAGACTTACTTTTCCATGCTTGGGCTTTATGGCTCTTTTTTGCCTTGACAGAGTGCATTGCGATTGTAATGAAACTTGTGCATCTAGGCGGACATGCAGACACCATCGTCATTGGAGATGGTCCCATTTTCTCAGCTGCTTCAAGCTGGGCAACTGCGAAAGTGCAGGGGTATCTAGGCGGGAGCTGACGGCTGACAACTAAGACGAGCTTGTCTTCAATTCTCGTCTTCCATATCTCACCTTTGAGATCCTTTGAGTACAATGGAACGTCTTCCGTTTTCTTGTGCTTGCCATGGAGTCTTATGTGAAATTTCTCAGCTTTGTGCGAAAACAGGGTTTGTTGTTACGATGATGCTGTTTGGTGGAGCTGTTGTTCGTGGTGTTGGATGTGAACTGACCATGTGGGATCTCACCTACATTTGATCAGCCCACATTTGGGACGCTCCACCACAAGTTTGCCGATGGACATCTTCGTGAGCCCATTGGCAAGTTGCCTTCCAAGATCCATTTGAAACTGCCTGCAAAGCTGTTGATTTGGGCTTGAACTCTTCAGCTCCATGGTCTGCCAAAGTCCTTCGGGAGGGCGACTCCGATACTTGTCCAGCTGCCCTTTGGTTGACTGCTTGAACGGGCCACTCTATGGCGACACAGACTGAAAACATCTTTGAAGCAAGGCGGCCATGAGGGAAGGATTCAGAGGAACTCCACGCCATTGCAGGACTCATCGGCGTGAGAGGCAGAGACGGTAAACCATTCAGGCGCACGAATGAAGGTAAACCATTCAGAATCCTTGGCCTGATGCAGGGAGCAATGACCATGAAATTGAGCCGGATTCTTCGGCGATCAACCAGCCACACCAGCTCACTGTAGACTGTAGAGAGCACGTCGTCCCCAGTGTGCCGCCAAAAGTTGTTTTGCATAGCGAAGTTAAGGTCACAGGTCCAACGATGAGGTTTGAGAGATTTTGATGGAAAGGAGTTTGTGAGCATATCGGACAGAAGTTTGTGTGTAGTGGAGCTGTACTCGTAGTGCCGCTTGGTGCTGCGGACGATTCTGCCACTGAGACCGTTCTTCTTTTGCAACAAGGACTTGCAAGGCTCTGCCCAACGAAGCTCTTTGCAAGATCCTAGGAAGCGGAAGCTGATCACTTCCGTGTACCTGCTCGTTCTTACACAAGCTGTTACTCCACTTTTCCACTTTTTGATTCATGGTCCTTCATGTTTCCACCCCCAAAACCTCGGTTTTGCAGCTGATTTGAGCCGTTAGTTCACCACCGCCGGTGTGCAGCTGAGTCAAGTGAAACAATCGATGTTCAAACACCTACAAATTTTCGGACTTTTCGCCATGCTGATCTATCGCCTTCCTTCCCAACGTGGCAATTGCGTTAACTGAAAACCCAAGTTCGAAGTGTGACTCGCTCAGTCTTCCCACTCGGGTACTGGGTGTGATCCCCTTCAGTGGGGCGCAGACGCCATTCCAGATTTCATCGATCCTGCTTGTTTATAACTGACTTTTTGTTCCTTCACTTTATTTCTGAATTCCCTGATTTTCGAGCCGCCGGGCTATAAGCGAGGAATTATCCCCTCAACGCTCCGACATTCGTTTGTGTTGTGCGTTGCGACGTTTTTTTCTCCAACTTCAATTTAATTTCCCACCCGCAGCCATTTGACCGACGATCAATGCATGCATGCTCACATTTCGGAGATTACAATGCACGCCAATTCATCAATTTTCATTTTTCAAGTTTTTAATCCTTCACTGCACGCATACGGATTTCCTGACTTCACTGCCATCTTCAAACTTACTGTTTCAGCTGCTGTGCCGCGCCGGCGCCATTTTCTCGCAGCCACTCGGACGGCCCTCTCCACATGCAGTACCCTTGGCCTTATCCGCATTGGCCACAGCCCTGTACCGCGCCCTCCATACCCGCCATCACCGCTCAACCACCGCCATGGCACCACCCTCCACCAACGGCGCCTGTTCCTACAGTTATCTCCCATCCACCACAACAGGCTCTTCTACCTCATTTTCAGCCCACTCCGCAGCAACAGCCACCACACGCGTGGCCACATCCCATGCCAGCCCACTCTCCACCAATACCAACCTTCGTGGCTCCCACACCGGTTCACCCAACGGCTCCACAGATGCAGGCATTCGAGACCCTGCCAACGCAACCTCCTCCACACACTATACCCCATGCACCACCAACCGTTGTACCCGTTCCTCCAGCATCACCAACACAGCCGCCAATCCAACAGGTCCCCATCCATTGGGACCAATCTCAAGGTGTTTGGCAACCTTTCTCGGCCTTTCCACCAGTTGCTCACCCATTGCCAGCTTCCGCACCGGATCCGAACACAACTGCTTCGGCCACTCCACCACCTACACAACTACCTTCTGGCGTTCCCAACGCCCCTCCCGGTGCTTCCGATGTCCCACCATCAGTCGCCACCACTCCAGGGACATCCTTACCAACTACCACTGCCACCACTTCCACGACTCCACCACCAACCACCGCCAAGCCAACACCGCCACCACCACCAGCATCTCCGGCACCATCCACAAACCCAACCGCACCGCCTCCCAAGCCGCCCTCCTCACGACCTCTCACAGCAGCACCGCCTCCTACCACCACTGGCCGCAGCCATCGTGGCCGAAGCCGTAGCAAACGGCGTCGCCGCCAACGCAGTCGCCACACACGCGACAGACGCCAACGTTCCCCTGCGACTTCCACCGCCAAGGCATCCTCGGCACGCCGCCGACGTCGCCGCTCTCCCTCCACTACATCTACCACGTCTTCAGCCAACAATTCCCATCCACCTATCACTTTCCGCCCCAATCAACAGTCTACATCTCACAGTCAGCTCCACAACATGTCCCAAGCAGAATACCCCAACTTTCCGGCGCTACGACGCCCCCACCCACCTTGGAAGGCACCTCCTCCACATTTTCAACAACTGTCACAGCAAGAACAGATAGCATGGTGGCTAGACTTCCATGCAGCTCAGTTTGCCGCAGAGAACAGACCACAACATCTCTATATCGCCAAGCTTCTTGCGGACAACGGCTTCGAGTTCGATGATTTGGCAGACTTCCGCCAACTCACCCATGTGAAATGGAATGACACCACCAATGCCTACGACACTTTCTCCTATCACTGTATCAACCTCCCGAGCCTCGTTGACAAAGCTACTCGTCCACTGCCACCACCCGCCACTCGGGCCACTTCTACTGCCCCTGAAACAGTTCACATCAACGCATGTCACACTGGCCCTTATGGCAATATTGCTGCCATTTTACAACAGGGTCGTCTCCTCCCCAGTACCCTTCACTTCGAAGACAACCCAGGCTTTTTTGCTCAAGCCACACGCATTACCCACCAACACATTCACGACAACTACGAACAAGCCCGCATTTTACACAACACATGGAAGATGGCAAAAAACGTCCATTCCATCATGGTCCATATCCTTGCTTGGGGCCGTGGGACTAAGTTCACCAGCGGAGGTGAAGCCCAAGCCATGCATCTTTTGCAACAAGATCATGGTGCTGTTTGCCATTCCAAAGCCCGCTGCTGGGTGATTCACCCAAATAATGCCATAGTCAAGGGCTTGGCATGGTCTATCAATGCCATTCCTCCAGACCTTTGAAGTCCCACAACACACTGCCAGCTCCATCTCCACCTTCAACTCCATGCCACAACCCAACGCCTGAGAGCAGCCTGTCCCCACGTTTCACCTCGTCACCACCTCCGGCTTTGAAAAAGCCGCGCCCTGATGTTTTACCTGCAGGACAACTTTCAGAGCTTTACAACGTCAACCTGTGATAACTTTTACTCGATTTCTTTTCGAACTTGATTTTTCAGCTTTCATGATGGACCTCTCATGCTCACTTGGATTTTTCTAGACTTGTCAGATCAAAGGCCATAGGCTTTGAGCGTTTTTGTAAGTAATGTGCTCTTCTCTTCCCACCGATGCAGTTTTCCGTTTGAGACTCCACTTTCCACTGATGCAGTTTTTCAGATTCCATTCACGTTTATGCATAATCTGCAAAATTCATGCTCAATAATTCATTTTCGTAATTCATTTGCACGTTCCGCATGTTATTTTCCTGCCGACATGCAGCGTTGACACCATAGCTGCGCCGATCGACGCTCAAGTTTGCTGCTTTTGCTATCTTGACAAGGCCTCTCCAGATGCCATCTCATGCAGACCAGGTTCGACTTCTCCATCGAACCACTATCGCCCTCAGTCAGCTTTATCGATTGCTCCAGCAAGCAACGGACATCCTGTCCAACTTGCACAGTTTTTATCTCGTCCATACACAACAGGTCGACCCTCATTTTCACCGACCTTTTCAGACTCTCTCACCAGCTCCCATCACAGCCGTCCCCATTCCCTCCCCCACCTCTTCGTGCGACTCGGCGCCTGCTGCTCCCATCAAACATGCACCACAGGAACCTCCTCCTTCCCAAGCATCCTCGGCTTCTTCTTCATCGCCACTACAGCCACAACCCAAGCGCAAACGTCAGCCTCCACCACCCCCCAACGAAGATGCAGATTGGGATGCTTGGGACGCTGATGCAGATATCCGCCTTGTTGAGCTCAAAACTGATACTCGTCTCCGCCCGAACTGGAACTACGTTGCCCGTCGAGTAGGTTTTTCCATTGAGCAGTGCAAAGCACGTTGGGAAGAACTCCAAGCACCCCCACACCAACACGAGGCAGTCCACCCACCACCGTCACCTACACCCACTTCACCTGCCAACACACCACCGGCCTCACCGGCCCAGATGCCTCTCTCGGCATCAGCGCTTCCACCGCCGGCATCACTTTCAGCCCCAGACTTCTCCTACACACCCACACCACCTCCATCGCCTGCACCGGCTGCCCCAGTCACACCTGATGCCGTACCAGAAATCACCAGTGAGGACAGTCATCCGGAACTCGCAGCGGCTGACATCGGTAGCTATTTTGTATAGTTTCAGTTTCACCCAGCTCTCTTCGGCGCGCCATCAGCAAACAAGTCCATGCACTGCAGCACTGTTATGCACTTTGAATTCCGTTCATTTTTCCTGCACGTAACCACTTTGTACAGTTGCTTCTCGGTTTTGAGCTTTCGCGATCTTTGGATGTTGATTTCCGACCTATCTTTCTGCAGCCGTTTTCATTTTGACT